TCATCAGGATGCTGGTACTTCCTCTCCAGTATCATTCTCAAATTCTAGTAAAGGAAAAATTTTTTTGTTTGCTTTTTGTTTTTGTTTTTGACTCTCCCAGAGTATACAGGGAATGAGCAAGCAGGATTCATGTAATACTCTCTATGTGTAATAAAAGTTAGTAGCCATTTTCCTTCACACACTGATGCCAGTGTATACCACTTTTACATGCCTCAGTGTGGATTAATTAACACAAATGGCAATGTTGATGTCAACATGTTAAGAACACCAGTTTGCAGGTTGATGAGGATGTTTATGATTTCAGTACATGTACAGAATGTTGACTGAGTTTGTATAGTATAAATGCCAAGAAAATGTTTATGCTTAGTACTTTTAGAATTAAAGAGGCAATTTCCTGTCATCAATATAATACATGTTTGTATTTTTTAGGTTAGGTGAAACTATTTGAAGGTTATTTTCTGTTTTACTACATGATTAAAAGGTAAAGGTAAAGGTAAAGGCCCTCCCGTTGATCATCGATTTGCTCGAGCGGGCCCAGTAACGTCTCCATTGGAGACTTTGTTGTTACTGTGTCTGGCATATCGAATACTCTCGGTAGCTTGCCGGGCTCTCCGGGAGGGGCGGAGGAATCGAACTCGGGTCGGCCATGTTGGCCGCTTGTAAGGCGAACGCCCTACCCGCTGTGCTATAAATCAACATTAAGCAATAGACGTTTTTTAAGTTTTTATTTATTTATTTATTTTAAATTTTGGGCTGCACCAGCAGTGCTCAGGGCTTACTCCTGGGTCTATGCTCAGGGGTCACTAGTAGTGGGGTTGGGGGGCCATTGGATGCCGGAGATTGAACCCGGGTTGGCCATTTGCAAGACAAATGCTCTATCCGCTATACTGTTGCTCCCGCCCTGGATTTTTAATTTCTTTTTCATTTTGAGGATATATGTATTATATATATATATACATTTTGAGATTACTCATGTTCTATGAGTTTTGTTTTTTGAAAAGTTATTATATATTTTTTAAACAAACTCAGGTTTTTATGGTGTGTGTGCTCTTACGTTTTCTCTTCATTATTTCATACTAACACTCCACTTTTTGGAACTTGTGGAAGATGAAGTAAAAGTAAGAGAAAGGTTGAGAAGGTTGAAGAGATATCTTTACTCATTATAATTTATTGTTTCTATAGGGGAGGTCTGTCTATTTTATTGAAATAATAACACTAGCTGTAAAAATGGGTTTTTGGAGAAGATGAAGAGATAGTACAGCAGGTCAGACATTTGTCTTGCATACACCCTGCCCTAGTTTGATACCCCAGAACCATATATGGTCTCCTGATCATCACAAGGAGTGATCTCTGAACAGTCAGGAGTAAACCCAGGAATTTCTGGGCATGGCCCAGTTCCTTCACCAATCTCCACTGCCTAACAAAAAACAAAAACAAAGCAATCACCAACAAAAAGCAACATGATTTTGAGTCATGTAAAATTATTTACATTTTTGATATTTTCTAAAGGGAAGCGTTTAAATATGAAGCTTTAAAAAATCCTACTCCATCAGGTAGGTTGCTAATTAAAAAATTGATCAAGGTATACCTATACATTGATATGGAGTTGGACATACTTAAAAATGAAAGAGAGGCCTAGGGGATAGCTCAGTGGCAAAATGCATATCTTACAAACGTGAGACTGTCAGTTAGATCTGTGTACTGCCCCTACATGTTCTGAACTGGATCCGGGTGGTGCTGTGTTTTGGAACTCATGGGACCACTACAGAAATGTATGTGATCTCAGGCACATTGCCAACAAGTGTGTGTGAGTACTGTAACCAAGTGTGTGTGACCACATGTTATCACAACAACAATAAAAAGGGAAGGGGAATAAAATAAAGTGAGAGGGAGGGGCTGAAATAAAGTAAAAGTGCAGGCTGGAGCCCTTGTGAGAGATACATGTAGATAGGGAGAGGGACTTTGATTGCATTATTATTGTGTTTCTGTTGTTTGGGCCCCACTCGCAGATACTCAGAGGTTTTACCTGGGTCTTTGCTTTCGTTTGTTCCTAGAGGTGCTCAGGGGAAGCATGTGGTCCAGGCCTCCCGTATGCAAAATATGCACTCTACCTTGCTGGTACACTGAATTGGTATTATCACAGTATAAATTTTCCTGACGCCTTCTGTTTCATTTGGACTTTGATCTTTGGAAAATCACCTATGACTACTTTCCAATTTTTTTTTCCCTGTTGGTGCTCCATTTGTAGACCTTAGTTTTATAACTTAGTTTTGATTTTTTTTTTTGCCATAATGCAGTGATTACAACAATACTAGATAGCATCAAATTAGTTGCTTCCTTTGTCTGAGCAACCCCTTCTTTTTATTTTGTTTTGTAAGCATTCGTTATGTTAAGGAACCAGTAAATATTCTTTTTATAATGAGTGTGTTTGGGACAGAAAGCATACTTTGTATGTCTGAACTTGGTTGTAAAATCATTTTCAGATAAAGAAACTTTTAATTTTATGTAGAATATAAGAATGTGTCTGGGTCAGTAAGGAGGGGGGCATTTTGTACCCTTACCCCTCAACACGCATATTGAGATGATTTTATTCTTCTGAATTTCTGAGGAAGTTTTCTCCCTTATTGTAAAAGCCAGCAGATTTCCCGAGTGTCCTTGAATGATTTATTCATGGCCCACTTGTATAGTAGCAAAAGAAAAGAATTATACATTACATATTTTTTCTCTTGTGCAAGAGACCAATTTTTCAAAAATATATTTGGTGTAAGACCTTTAATAAAATTTTTAATGAGTTGTCTTTCTAACTCATAGTCATTACAAAGAGTACTGTCTCCTTCATTATCATGGCTCAGAGCAGTGTATTTTTTTACCCCCTTGCCGGGACACGTATTGTTTTCATAATACTTCTGCTTTTAAAGCTAAATATTTTTCTGTTTAAGAAACTCTAAAATATATCCGTACTTAATATAGTCTTTTAATTATACCTTAAATGTTAGATATTTGTTGATAACATATTATCTAATATTAAATCATTGAATATTACCAGTAATCTGAGATGAATACAATTGCACTATTCAAAAAAATTTCTTTCATTTTTTATTTTCTTCATCTTCATTCTGTCCTTTATTACTTCCTTCTTCCATACTCTACCAATGAGAATTTAGGCATTTAAGTACTTGAAGAGTAGATGAATGATTTCATGTTATCATTTCATGTCTCTTTATCCTATTTATTTATTTATTTTTTGCTTTTTGGGTCACACCTGGCAATGCACAGAGGTTACTCCTGGCTCTGCGCTCAGGAATTACCCCTGGCGGTGCTCAGGGGACCAGATGAGATGCTGGGAATTGAACCCGGGTCGGCCGCATGCAAGGCAAACGCCCTACCTGCTGTGCTATTGCTCCAGCCCCATCTTTACCCTGTTTATTTATTTTTTTATTTTTTTGGTTTTTTGGACTACACCTGGTGGTGCTTAGGACTTACTCCCGACCCTGTGCTTAGGGATCACTCCTGGCGGAACTCATGTGGTGCTGGGGTTAAATTCAGGGTGTGCGTGTGCGAAGCAAGCGTGATACCATTGCGACTGTTCTGGCCTCTCACCTCTTTTTACATTATAGATTCTGTGAATACAAAGACTACATCAATCTTATCCACTCCTTGTCTAATGTTTAGAACTAGTGAAATAGGAGACCAGTAAATGAACTGAATGAGTGAATCAATGAAAATAAAATATACTCTAAAGATGATGCCTCTTTTGAAAATTATCTTTGTTGGGGCTGGAGCAATCCCACAGTGGGTAGAGCGGGTAGAGCATTTGCCTTGCACGTGGCCGACCTGGGTTCAATTCCCAGCATCCCATAGGGTCCCCTGAGCACCGCCAGGAGTAATTCCTGAGTGCAGAGCCAGGAGAGTAACCCCTGTGCATCGCTGGGTGTGACCCAAAAGCAAAAAAAAAAAAATTATCTTTGTTAAAAATGTATGCCTTATCCATATTAATATTTATATTTTAAATTATAATGAAGAGAAATTATAATATAGAGAAAAATACTTCAAATATTTTTATTTATTTATTTATTTATTTTTTATTTTATTTATTTATTTATTTATTGAATCACCATGGGAAAGGTTACAAAGCTTTCAGGTTTAGGTCTCAGTCATGCAAATATCAAGCACATTTCCCTTTACCAAAACTTAGCTTCAAATATTTTTATATTTAAATATTACCAATACTCTGAGATGAATAAACTTGTGCTATGGTTTTTAAAAAAAGTTAAAAATTATTTTTTAACAACTAAAGGGCAGCATAAGAAACAATTTAAAATGGTTTTCAAAGTTAAACTTTACTTGGGATTCCTATTTGACCATGAGACACTGATTATCTAAGTAACTCATTGCCATAAGTAGTTGGAGGGAAAAATATGGAACTACTCATAGTTTTACACTAATAAATATCAATTTTAAGGGTTTTAATTGAAACATGATGTTGTGTCCATGTAGATAATAGCATTTTTATATTTATTTATACTTATAACTTAAGAATTTAAAGATTAAAGAGTATTTTAAAATGTAACAGGAAATTTTGTGCTCTTGGGTTCAGAAATTCCGATTTAAGCAAAATAGGCCTTGACTGATCAGAAACATAAGGACTACAATAAGTGTATATAACTCTCAAAAACAATTTTAGTAACAGACTGTTAATTCAATCGTGGGATAACAGGTGTATACAAACATTTAGGAGATTAAAAAAACCCAGAGTTCATTATTAACAATAGTGTGGGACTGACTGTTAGTTACAAAGTAGCCATAAACCTTAATTTCATGTATTATGTACTTAATTTTATTGCTCGTTTATAAATACATGACTATATAATAGAATACATAAGATTCTACTTGTTTTTATAACTTCTGTTCAGCTCCTATTGTAGTATTTTTTACTGTTTGCTTAGCTTTGGTCTCTTTGTGACTTTAAGGGTTTATTTTCATCCTATATTTTTCTTGAGGCATCCACAAGGACAAAGATAAACCTCCCAGCTTCTCAGTTGTCCTTGAGACTTTGAGGCGTACCTTGACAGATTACCAGAACAAGCTGGAAGATGCATCTAATGAGGTAACACGTGCACTGTTTGGCTCCACACATACAGCCTTCAGCCTGTAGCTGTACCTATCCCTTGCTTATTACAGAGGTCAAAGATTGGGGATATTAAATTGACAGCTTCACAGATACAAAAAGTAGTAAATTGTCGTTGTTCTTTAAGTATGGCCTAAAGTTGTTTCATTTTCATTTCTGTAACTCTTCAGTAACAATATCTTTCAAAGTTTTAAAAATCACATCTTGGTTTTCATAATTTACCAGTTTTAATGGCACATAAAGCCATTCAGGACTTTTAGTTAACATGTTTTATACTTAAACTTTAATTTTTATTATTAAATTTGGAATTGACAGAGGACATTTAGGTTATGTCAGTATTTCAGGAACAGATTTCTACGAATTGTGGGAGTCTCATTCTCTAAGTGGAGTAAAATGTTGTTAGAAGTTTTTAGAAACAAGTATCTGTTGATATAGCCTAAGATTTTTTAGCTTGATGATTGAAAGAGCTCTGCTTATGTTCATTATTTCATTTTGTTTAATGTGTGCTTCATGATTTTATTCAGTGAAAGATATTTTATGACTTTTTGCTTTAAAAATGGAAGCACTTAGTTCTACCTTGTCAATAGGAAAACAATTTGATAGTCAAATATAATTAGGGAAACAGTAAACAGATTGTACCAAAGACAAACCACATAACATGAAAGATAGTGTTTGTCCTCTTATCTCTTTCTTTATTAGAAAGACCATGAGAGACCATGACCGTTTTGTATCCCATTAAGGAAAGGTTTATTTTACTTTAGTACAATATGAACAAAGGAAAAAAGTGAGTCTTCATACTTGGTTACTGTTCAAAAGGCATGAAAGAAATTGGTGATTAGAATAATTAATTTTCTGTAAAGAACAAATACTGCAAAGTCTCTCCTAAGGAGGCAAGACGACCTATATTGTAAGTAGTCTATGAAACTCTTCCGAGGCCTAGGTCTGGAAGCTGCAGGGTAACTCGGAACATATTCCCCACAGCGAATTGTTATTTGGGAGGATGAATGTCACATGATCCTCAGCACAGTTGAAAAGTCGACTCAGCAGGCTTTGGCTTGGTAATGTGCTTTGTTGTGAACCAGTGCCAGAGACAGCAGTGGGGAGACCAAGGGGGTGGCTGCAAAGAAAGCAAAAAGAGCAGTCTGACAGAAAGAAGAATGAACTGTCAAAGAAAATAAATCACAAGCAGAGCAGGACCAACTGATGACCTGCCACAAGCCTTCCCAGTAGGACTGCATGTGACTGACCCTGAAGTTGTCATATGGAGTGAGAGACCAGTGAATACCCTCATGATGTATAGAAAGAACAGGCTTCTGTTATGTCCTTTTTACTTTTCTTATAGATATGCCACTGCTTTTGGCATCTTGGTCCAGTAGGATTTTAAGAATAGAGTTATATTTATTTACACTGAGAATGAAATTTTTTTATCCAGACAACTGGTAAAAATAGAGTAGTAACATCACTGGCATTTTAAGCTTGAATGCCTTCTTTTCTTTGAAATCATGAGAACTTGTGACAGAAATTACACAGTTAGCCAAAAGTAGTTTTTAAGACTGTTAGTTACTATTGGAAAATTTGTATTATGTAATTGCTTAAAATCATTCAGAGATTAATTTTTGAGTTACCCATCCTTGGAAAATATAAATAAGTCATATTTTATTTCATCAGCTAAACAACATGAATGACGCCAAGGAAAAAGCATCCAATGAACTTAATTCTACCAAGCAGAAGATAGAATCTCACACTAAAAATATAAAGGTATTTTGAATTAAAATAACTTTCCCTCTTTAATAAAATACCTTAATGTTTAGCAATGCAATCCACAGGCAAATGTAATTATTTGGAGGAATATTTTAAAGCAGAAATATCTGAAAATTTTCATATTACTTCTTTTTAAGAAAATTTATATGTAACTTAAATATTCTATTGTTAATCAAAGTAACAATTTTTTAGTTTAAAAAAGATTAGAAATCATTTTTACTAAAGGAAAAACCCATTCTACAGGTTTAATTATAATATAAAAGATCAGGATGACTTAATACACATCTCTAGATACATAGTAAATATTTTATATCAGCACATAAGTATTTAGAGTCAGTTTTTATCATTTCATAGTGGAGCTGTTGTTTTCAGTGTACCTTCTTCAGTAAAGACTGACAAACATCCGGGACAGCAGTTTATTTTATTTTCTGGACTGTTTTTATGTATTTCATCTTTGCATATTATACTGAGGCAACCTTCAAAGTTGTTTAATACTCTTGGAAATTGTTATTATTATGTTTTTTGGTTGTTGGTCCATGTTGCATTTGTCCTAGGCAACTTCACACTTCAGTAGATTTGTTAAGGTTAAGAAATAAATGGTTTTGAGGCTGGGGCAATAGCACGCTGGGCAGGGTGTTTGTTTGCCTTGCACATGGCCGACCCGGGTTCAATCCCCAGCATCCCACGTGGTCCCTTGAGCACCGCCAGGAGTAATACCTGAGTGCAGAGCCAGGAGTAACCCCTGTGCATCGCTGGGTGTGACCCAAAAAGCAAAAAAAAAAAAAAAAAAGATTTAGCCAAATTTTATTTCACATATTTGGGATTTATATTAATATTTGGAATGACATTGGGAAGTGCAGGTTCTTATGTGAAGTGTAAGATATTTATTTTTTATTCATATTTTTTTAGTTATCAAATTATTTTTCACAATGGGTGGAAAAAAAACTTGTGCATCACACTGTTTTGGGATAGGCTATCTATTAGTAGCATTTTATGTTTAAATGTTAAAAATAACTTTTTCTAATTCTTGAGCTAAGAAATATTTAGAAAATACATTTAATAAAATACCTTAATGTTTAGCAATGCAATCAGATGCTTACCTTTGAGATTCGTTTTTGATTAAAGCCTTGAAATTCTTCATTTTCTATTTCATGTATGTGGGAGGTACACATATAAGATACATAATTTTACGGTTATTAACTGGTCTTCACATATCTCTTTGTTTTGTTATCTGACAGGACCTTCAGGACAAACTGAATGATGCCTGTAAAGAGCTCAGTCACTCACGCACTAAGTGTGCTGACAGAGAGGCACTAATAAGCACTTTAAAACTGGAGCTGCAAAATGTGCTACACTGTTGGGAGAAAGAGAAGGCACGAGCAGCTCAAGCTGAAAGTGAAGTGCAACAGCTTTCCCAGGCTTTCCGCAAGGATAGCGAGGTATTCCCTAAGACATGGGGACTGGCAGGAAGGACCTTTCATGAATCTCCATTTTATACTTATAGTAATGTCCCACTAATCTATATTTAAGTACAGCAGGTGGCTGCTTTCACTTATTTACTTCAAAAAAAAATAGATCTGAGCGAAATATTTGAAACTAATCATGTTGGCTACAGTATCAATCACTCCTCTACTCTCATAGCATACTTTATTTGGTGAGAAAATTAATGTAATTTAGTCCTTCGATTTCTTGAACACTGAATTTCTCTGTTTAGATTGTTATATTATAAACATCTCGACTCCCAATAGTCAGTCCTTCTAAGGTCTACCTGTTTGCCAATGACAACATTTATTTTTTATTTCAGCAGTTTAGTAATAGCACGGTGGAAAAAAATTTTTTTTTGTACTTAAGAAGTACTGAACTTGGATCCTATACATCTTTTTGCTAACTGAATATGAATAAGCCACAAGATTTAGTCTTTCTACATTAGTTTCTTTGTTTGCAAAATAGCAATAATGATACTATTTTATTTTATTTTTAAAATTTTACTTTTTAAATTGAATCACAGTGAGATACAAAGTTACAAAGTTGTTCATGATGGGTTTCAGTCATTAATGTTTCAACTCTCATCTCTTCACCAGTGTGTGTTTCTCACCACAAGTGTCCCCAGTTTCCCTCTTGCCACCCCCCACTTTCCCACAGTGGCAGGCACTTGTCTTCTCTCTCTCTTTCTCTCTTTCTCTCTCTCTCTCACACACACATACATTCTCTCTCTCTCTCTCACACACACACACATACATTCTCTCTCTCCCCCCCCCCCCCCCCCGTCTGTCTTCTTTTGGGCATTGCAGTTTACAGTACATATACTGAAAGGTTAATGATAGCTGTTTTAATTTTAATAGTCTTATTACTGTTTATAACCAAAGGGTATTCATAAAAGTGTAGAAAATAGGGCTGGAGAGATAGCTCAAAGAACTGAACGTACACTTTGTATACTCGAGGATATGGTCTATCTCTAGCATCACATGGTCCTTTGAGCATCCTTGGGAGACATTCCCTGACCACAGAGCTGGGTGTAACCAGTTAGTACCACTGGGGTATGACCCAAAGGCGAGAGAGAGAGAGAGAGAGAGAGAGAGAGAGAGAGAGAGAGAGAGAGAGAGAGAGAGAGAGAGAGAGAGAAAGAAGAAGCAGAAGCAGAAGCAGAAGCAGAAGCAGAAGCAGAAGCAGAAGAAGAAGAAGAAGAAGAAGAAGAAGAAGAAGAAGAAGAAGAAGAAACCCCATATATCTCATTAAATAAAAACTTTATTGGGATGCCCTAGAGAGTTGCCAATTCATTTTTATTTGTTGCTGGCTTCTAAAATATCTGACAAGAATCTTTTTATTCTGTATGAGCCTGTGTGAATGGACTTGCTATCTTATATTTTTAGTAGCTAGATACTAGTCTAGTTAGTGTGGAACTGGTTTATATGAGTTGTCCTGCATATTGAGTTCATTACTCTAACAAATATGAACACGAATGCCAGGAGAGTAAAAAGAAAACATTCTTTCCACGCTTCTTACAGTCTGGGATTTAAATTGTGTCCACATGAAGGGGCTGGAATTGTTCTACACATCAGATAATGATTAAAGTAAAGGAAACTAGAAGCCTTACTGTATTGTAAAGTCAGCATGTCTACAGCATTGTGGTTGGGTTCAACATGTGTGAACTGATTTTGGATCCTGAGAGTCTCTGTTCACGCCAAATGTATGATTACCATGCATGGTTTATCATAGCCCAAGCAAAAAGGACATACTGGCAACACACTGAATTATCCTTGAGGATCAGCATGATCAGTTGGTAAAATGTGGAAGGGGAAGATTCTAGTATTCGAATATTACATTTGGTTAGTTATCTTTAATATATATATATTTTAAACATATCAATTTGGATGAAAATACAAATGACCTCCTTTTAAAAATGAAAAAGACATTGCATAGTTTTGAAGACTTCTGATAATCTTACTCCGGTATGTGATTTTCATATGTCTTTAAATTTTTGGCTTATATATTGGTCTGTTTGGGAAAAAATAAGATGGAACACATAGTGGGTTACAGATAGATTTTGATTTATATGTATGTATATATGAACTTCCCAACAATTTCTTTAAAGTCTTTGTTAATTTGACATAAATTTTACATTACTATAGAATTTCTGAAGTAGTGTTTCACACCTCTGCTGTATACAAGGCTTCGGTAATACTACTCTAAACATACCCAATCTCTATCTGTAATTTCTTTTTCTTTTTTTTTTTACTTATTTTGGGTCACACCTGGCAATGCACAGGGGTTACTCCTGGCTCTGTACTAGGAATTACTCCTGGTGGTGGTGCTCAGGGGACCATAAGGGATGCTGGGAATTGAATCCAGGTCTGCTGCATGCAAGGCTAATACCCTACCCACTGTGCTATCGCTCCAGCCCCTTAATCTGTAATTTTTAATTATGGAACCTTTATGTGTTCTCTATGCAGGTTTTTTAAACTAGAAGATTGGAGTTTCTATTTTTTTCTCAGTCTCTGTTTTTTTTTTTCCTCAAGCGGGTGCTACACCCAGTATTACTCAGGGGTTACTTTTGGCTCTGTGTTCAGGAATCACTACTCCTTGGCGGTGCTTGGGGGACCATATAGGGATTGAACCTGGCTCAGCTATATGCAAGGCTACCATGCTGTGCTGTCACTCTGGCCCCTCTTATTCTCCTTTAAAAATTTTCTATTCCTGATGATCTATTACAAAATCTTGAGGGAACTTATTATATCTACATAAAATACTCATTTGAAGCTTCACAGTTACCTTGTGTTCCCTTCTTTGCAATTGCATAGATGAATCACCTTATAAAAAGAGCCATTTGGCATTTTATTAAGTAAATTCTTCTTGGGTGTAACATGGGATCAGCTTTTCATTGAATTTTGCAGATAATGTTGCTAGGTAATTAAACAATGATAGTTTAGTTATTGCAATGGCAATATGATTTAAAAGGATTTTTTTTGTGCTTGTAATTGGACAGATTTGAAATTATGTCTTGGGAGGTTGTGCCCATTTTTCTCTTGCTTGTGACTTTATATTATTTGAACACTTATGTGGCCCTATGTGCCACAAACTATTTGAACTTATATGTGGGGAAAACAGATGAACCCGTCTTCCATATCTTTCATATCACTGTCTGCTTTGCCTAAGGGGCTTAGGATAGATTTTTCTGTAAGTGGTAAGTAAAGTGGAATCTCTAGAGAAGGAAGAACGCTTAGTAATTATATATATATATTTATATATATATGAAAAGTATAGGTAAGAGGTATATCGTTTCTTCATCAGAGTTGAATAATACTTCTCTATATTCACATTGAGCTACATTGGCAGGTGTAAGTATGGAATTATGAAGTCACTATACTGGTTTTCATTTAGAATACTCTAGAAGATCCTATCCTAGTTCAGATAATAACTGATATTACAGCTGAGGAAGGTGAGGTCTGAACAAGTGTTTAATCCTAAATAGTAGCACAGCTGGGTTCAGAACTTTTCGCTTTCTGGTGGCAGCTGTCAGATTCCGGCTTTGAGTACCAGTTGTAAGCAATTCTGTTTCTCTCTGGTACTTGGTTTTCAAGGTTAAATAAAATGAACCAACGCAGCCATATTTTGAAACTTGAATATTTTAACTCCTTTCTAGGTTTTTGAAATAAATTCCTCACCATATTATGTGTTTTTCTTCTGAAAGTGTTCAGATGCTAGAATTAACTTTTCTTTTTTTTCCTCCCTCACAGGAGAAGCTAACCTTCCTTCATACCTTGTATCAGCACTTGATAGCAGGCTGTGTGCTCATAAAACAACCAGAAGGCATGCTGGATAAATTCTCTTGGTCTGAGCTTTGTGCAGTCTTGCAGGAGAATGTTGATGCCCTGATCGCAGACCTCAACAGGGCTAATGAGAAGGTAACTGTCCTCAGGCACCAGATACCTCTATTAAATTCAGTGACATTTGTCCACATCACAGTATCATTAAGAGGGGCTGACATTCATCTTATTTCAAAAAGAATTTGGGTGTTAATAATTCAATACCATTAATTATGGCTTGTCTACAACTCAGTTTGATGCCATTGCTGTGGGCATGTAAATGTGACTGAAGTCTGTATGAAATCTCTAAGCTCCACTTTCTGTGCAGGACATGCTAATACTACTAGCCAGTATTAGCCACAGGGACCTAATTAAAGGAAAATAAATTAATCTTACTGATGAAGCGATTCAAAGAACTTAGTCATTTACATTAATAAACCAACTCTTTATGTTAGCATAAAATAGAAACAAGATACAGTTATTTTAAAACATGATTTTAAGATTCTGAGGAAATAATGAGGTGTTACTTTAAGAAAATTTAAAAGCTAAGTTATATTTATAACTTATTTTTTGAGCTATGTAAGCTGCATATTTACAAAACGTATGTAGTATTTTGGGATATTATAAGTTTATATTATAGAAGTAGCTTTTTATAACCACTTCACCATTAATAAATCTAGAATATCAGACTTCCTAGGATATTTTTAAATAGTTTTTGGCTATAGAAAATTAATATGGCTTAGCAAGCCAACACATGCCACTATTAGAAATGTTGATTCTTGAGGCTGGAGAAAGAGTACAGGGATTAAGGCACATATCTTGCAAGGTGCTGACCCCCTTTAGATCTCAGGCACCAACTATAGTCCACTGTGCTGGTAGTGACCCCTGAACACAGAGCAGTTAGTAGCCCCTGAGCAACTGCCTGGTATGTCCAAAACCATTAAATAAAGAAATAAATGAATAAAATATGTTGATTCGTATCCTCAGTTTCTTGAACTTGTCAGAACTATGTCTATATGGTCTAGTTTCCAAGTCTTAGTTACAGATATGTTTTATGTTTGGTAGTTAGTTGGGCGCCTGGGAGGAGGGATAGAAAGAGAAAAAGGATAAACAGCCTGGGACAATTACCATTACAAGAAAATTAGATTATCTCATATGTCTAATGAAAAACAGAGGGACCTTGAGACAAATAAGAGGGCCTTCAAACTCTGAGCCAGTTAGCCTTGTGTTCACATTTTCTTAAATAGAACTATGAGAGATAGGAAAGCTACAAAGGGATATTTATTATTAAAATACCATTTGGTATGTCAAACAACAGAAAACTCCCTGGTACAGTTAGAAGAGAGAAGTATATGGCAGAGAAATGCCGCCTGAATTGTCAAACTGGTAAGATCCTGGTGCAGTCAGTACGTACATTAGAAGCAAGCGGAAATGAAGAACAGCCCCCACGCTTTCTCAGGACACCCATTTCCCTTTGCATTGCCTGCTCTGAATGCTACATCTTCTGAGTGTATTTTTGCTTTCAGTATAGAGCCCCACTTTCCACTTTATATAAATGTGTCTCTTGACTAAATTCTTTCCTTTGGGAAGGCAAAGAACTGAAGTCCAGTATGACCCCTGGCCTCAGCATTTTTCTGATAACAATATCTTTTAGTTTTTTGTTTTGGGGCCATACCCACTGGTGCTCAGGTCTTGCTCCTGACTCTTCACTCAGGGATTATTCTGGTGGGACTCAGGTGACCATAAGTGGTTCTGGGGATTGTACCTGGGCCAGCTGTGTGCAAGGCAAGAACTGTACCTGCTGTACTATCTCTCTGGCCTCAACACTTTCTTCTTCTTCTTCTAAAAAATTTAAATTTTACTGAATAACCATGAGATAGTTACAAGCTTTCATGTTTGGGTTACAATCACACAATGCTCAAACACCCATCCCTCCATCAGTGCACGTTCCCCACCACAACACTTTCTTCTTAAGGAATAAAAGGATAAAAACCATTACCTAGATTTATTTTTTGTTTTTGGATATGTTAGAAGGGTGAAACAAATGTTGGCCCAATTTTATTGTAAGATTTCTTATTGTTGAGTATTTTATCTAGTCCTTATTGGGAGACAATAGCAAGGTTATTGATAAATCATTGAGGATTGAGGAATTAGGGAACAATTGTGAGAAGCATAGATACTATTTATAACTGTGGGTGTGTATGTAATGGTTTTGAAATTACTGATAATTAAAATGAGTATATTTTAACCATCTGAGATTATATTTATTTATAATCATATTTAAATATTCTTGCAATTTCAAAACATCATTGTCATACATATTAGAGATGAAGATTTTCCTTTCTGTGCTTTATATTTAAAATAGAAAATGGTCAGGATATTCTGCTTCACTAAAATGGTTAGAATATATGTCTCATTCAAATACTTACACTCTTGATATAGGAATATAGGAATATTGTTACTCAATAATAGTAAGGATACTCTTAATTTTCTCAGTAAAATTAATTACGGAATGAGTATTGGAGAAAAGTAAAATATTTATCAGCATACAGGTAAACAAATGCTCGAATATGATAATTTGCCCTGATTCTGTTTTATAATTTTGTTGCTGTTGTGCTGTCATACACAGGGATGCCCGGTGTGATCTGGCTCACATGTTCCAATGCTCAGGGGCCCTGCAGTGCCAGGGATTTAACCCAGGGTCTCATACTCCCATACACATAAGGCTTGTGTTCCACCATTTAACCATATCCCTGACCCTGTTTTTAAATCATCAATTTAATTTAGATATTTTGTATGACTTTAAGGTACAAAATGCATTGGGATAATATTGCTTTTGTTTTGGAGATGTTTTTGATCATATCACATTCTTTGTTTCATTGCCTCATTTAGATAAATCATCTGGAGTATATCTGCAAAAATAAGTCTGATACCATGAAAGAGCTTCAGCAGACCCAAGAGGATACTTTCAACAAAGTAGCAGAGCAGATGAAAGCCCAAGAGAGCTCCTGGCACAAACAGAAAAAGGAACTGGAGTTTCAGTACTCTGAACTTCTCCTGGAAGTACAGAAGAGGGCACAGGTAGGCTGCTTCTACAAAGAACCGGGAAGGGGGAGGAAAAAAGGACATTTAATCTTTAACTATTCCAAGTGTTGTTCTTTACTACTAATTACAAATCAGTTTAAAGTTACTTAAGCTCTGTAAAATTTGCTCAGGGCTTCCTCCTGGCCCTGTACTCTGGGATCCTGGTTGTGCTTGGGGAACCACCTGTGATTACAGGCATCAAACCTGAACCATCTGTATGCAAGTGACTTCATACTGTACTAGCTCTCAGGCCCAAAATCCTTATTTTTTGGAATGAAAGGCTAAGAACACATAATCACTAATTCAAAAAGATAGGTGAACACTTTTATTTACTGCAGAACTATTTATAGCGTACAACTCAAATGTCCAATGACAGATTAATGCATAAGTAAGACATTGTAAATGTACACAGTGAAGTACTACTCACTATAGATGTATGTATATATAGTTTATTTAAACACATGTACACATATGTATGTATTTATATTATATCATTTGATATATATGTGTACATAATCCTTACCTTTGTTTAAAATATTGATGGAATTGAAGGGAAAGATTCACATATATGAAATAAGGAGAAAGAAGGACATACTGAATGATCTCATTCATGAGGTATATTGAAGGAAAAACTAAGGCAACAGACAATGGTTTAATGAAGACAAACTCTTACACTCTGACAACAGAATTTAGGTTGCCAAATGGTAGTCAGATTCTAGGCTCAGGGATGGAGAGATAGTATAGCAGGTAGGGCATTTGCCTTGCACACAGCCAACCCAGGTTTGATCCCTGGCATCCCATATGATCCTCCAAGCACCTCCAGGAGTAATTTCTGACCGCAGAGCCAGAATTAATCCCCCGCAAATCAATCCCCAAAACACCAAAGAAAAAAAAAAAGAGGGTTCTAGGGAACTGTGGACTGTGATGGAGGAATATTGGCTCTTGGTAGTGGGGTTGGTGTGGTAATACTATGTTCCTAAAGCAAATAAACATTAATGACTTGTAAACTAATATTGCTTCAATAAAAATACTTTTAAAATTAGATAAAAATTTAACAAAATGTTATAGGACTTGGAAAAGTCTTGTCAGTTTTTGTGTGGGTATCTTTTTATCCAGTTTATTTCATTTGCGGAAGACTTTATGCAAATCATTTCAATTCATTATGTAGGGTTGAAATTTGTTAAACCTTCTAACATTGTAAATCTAGAGTTGTAATTCTTATGGACCCTAAAGCAAAATAATTGACTGTGGCATGTATTTATGTCTTCTATATTGAATTAAATTGAGAACATAAGTCATGAATAGTTATCAGAACCATATTTTTTCTATACAAATTATTGTCAACATAATTATGCTGTTGGCTCTCATCCATGCCCAGTCAGGAATGACATAATGCTGGTGTATATATTTTGTATTAAATTTAATAATAGATCATGTATTCTCAGGACACTTAGGAATTAGAAGATTCAGCTCATGCTTGATTTAGTATTATTCTTTTTATTTAATACATATATATACACAAATCTAATTATATAAAAGAAGCCATGTACTTTTTGTCAATAAGTTTTTTCACATTGCTCAAAGTTTTCATTTGCAGACAGTTTGTATTGCTTAGGATGATTTGTTGCCTTATGTATAACAATTTATATGAACTTAACCCTTTTTCTACAAATTTGAATGATTTAATACACTTTCTAAAAGTTGCCACTTTTTCACTTATGCAGGGTGCCATGTGCTATCTCTACATTTTTTACTACTGAAGTATAATATGTAAGCAACACATTTTATTTTTTTAGAGGTAACATTGGTGTGGGGCTGGAGCGATAGCACAGCTGTAGGGCGTTTGCCTTGTACGCAGCCAACATGGCCGACCTGAGTTCGGTTCCTCTGCCCCTCTCGGAGAGCCCGGCAAGATACCAAGAGTATCTCGCCCGCACGGCAGAGCCCGGCAAGATACCAAGAGTATCTCGCCCGCACGGCAGAGCCTGGCAAGCCGCCCGTGATGTATTCGATATGCCAAACACAGTAACAACAAGTCTCATGATGGAGATGTTACTGGGCCTGCTTGAGCAAATCAATGAACAACGGGAGGACCGTGACCTTGAACATTGGTGTACCGTACACATTGCCAATAAAAGTACAATCTGATATGCTGATCAATGCAGACGGTCGATTAATCATCACCCCATTTCATATTGAAAACATTTTTATTACTCTAAAATATTCTTTCGTGCTCTCTCCCTGTCAGTATTCTATTTGTTGTTATATTTTTTTTTGTAGGGGGAGGCTTTTGGGTGATACCCAGTGCTACTAAGGGCTTACTCTGGGCTTACTCCTGGCAGCACTGGGGAAATATATATGGTGCTGGAGAACAAACTGGGTTGGCAGCATGCAAGGCAAGTGACTTAACCCCTGTACTGTCTCCCACTCTGTAGTCAGTTTGCTTTCTTTTTTGTTTTTTTTGGTGCAGACCCTGTGATATTCAGGGCTTATTCCTGATTGTGCTCAGGGGTCATTCTTGGTAATTTCCTGGGTCCTTCTCTGGTATCAAACCAATGTCGTGGCTGAAGCAGCCACATGTTTGAAGAAGCCAAGTGTTTCTCCTCCTGTACTATCTCCCCAGCTTCCAGTCAGTTTTCATTCTTGACAGTCATGGTTCTGATGCCTATTAATGTTGATCATTACCTGTTATTGAATTTCCCATCATTGGAATCATTGAGTATGTAGTCTTTAATATTTGACTTATTTCACTCTATGTTTTTTTATATTCATTTTATGTCTCAACTTTATAGTTGAGTAATATTCCATTTTATAGTGGATTGTGGATTGATGGATATTTGGATAGTTTCCAGTTTTTTTGCTATTAAATACATAAAAGATCTTTAAACATTATTGTATGAATATTTCATTGGTGTATGTTTTAGTTTTTCCAGGTTGAGTACACTTGCCAGGGTCACAGAAATAGTGCAGGGGTTAGGGTGCTTGTCTTTGACTCTTGTTCCCCAGCAGTACAAGGGGTCCTCTAAGTGCTGATAACAGACTGGGAATAACCCCTCAGTACTGCCAGGAATGCCCCCAACAATCTTCACCAAAAAAAGTACAACTGCTAGATCATAAGATAGTTCTATATTTATGAAAAAATCTATCAAATATTTTTTCAGAATGCTTGTAAGTTTTGTATTCACATCACCAGTATGAAAATTTTTATTGCTCTATATGTGCTGCTTATTTTGTATTGTCAGTCTTTTTTTTTGCGTTTTTGGGTCACACCTGGCAATGCTCAGGGGTTACTCCTGGCTCTGCACTCAGGAATTACTCCTGGCGGTGCTCAGGGGACCATATGGGATGCTGGGAATCGAACCCGAGTCGGCCACGTGCAAGGCAAATGCCCTACCTGCTGTGCTATCACTCCAGCCCCTGTATTGTCAGTCTTTTCAATTTTAGATATTCTAATTGAATTTTCTATTTATGTTTTTATTACTGGTAGTACTAGGGGAACATGTGGTACTGGGGAATTGAATCCAGACCTCCTGAATGCAAAGTCTATGCTCACCCCATTAAACTATCTCATTGGTCTCTCTGCTTTCTATTTTTTTTTTGCCATACCTGCCTATGCTTAGGACTTAGACCTATCTCTGTGCTCAGAAATCTCTTTATTTTATTTTTTGCTTTTTGGGGTCAAACCTGGCAATGCTCAGGGGTTACTCCTGGCTCATGCATTCAGGAATTACTCCTGGTGGTGTTCAGGGGATCGTATGGGATGCTGGGAATCGAACCCAGGTTGGCTGCGTGCAAGGCAAATGCCCAACCCATTGTGCTATCACTCCAGCCCCTCAGGAATCACGTCTGGTGGTGCTCAGGCACTAAATGTAGTGCTGGGAAGTTGACCAGGCTCAACTTCATGCAGACAAGCACCCTCCTTCCTGGACTATCTCTTCAACCCTCCACCAGCTATTTTAAAATTAAGGCTGTGATTCACATTTTCTTGTACTTATTTGCCATTCATCAAGTGCCGCTTTAAGGCTTTCAGAAGTGTAGGTGCTTCCTTTTTTAATTATTGATTTCTAAGAGTTCTTTGTATACTGTAGATACAAATTCCTTGCCATTTATGTATCAAAGATGTTTTTCTAACATTTTCTCTTGACTTTTCATCTTTGAATATTTCTTTTGATGATGATAGATTTGAAAATTTTGGTGTAGTCTAAATTATGGGTTCCCCCCTTTTGTATTTATTCACAATGACTAATTAGTCTTTCCATAACCTGAGGTTGTAAAGATATGCTTCTATTATTATAGAAATTTTGTAGTTTTGGCTTTTATGCTTTTTTTTCTGATTTTTTTTCTGATTTGATTCTGAGTGGTAGTGCTTTTGGGTCACAACCAACAGTGCTAGGGTGGGGAGGCAACCGCATGGTGACAGGGATTGAACCCAGGCCTCCCACTTGCAAAGCACACACCTTTTAAGCTATTCCCCCCAGCGAAGCTTTATATCTAGTGTAATACATCTCAAATTCCTCAAATATATACAAGGAATTAAGTCAGTGAGGAGATTAATTTTCTACCTCATGCACATACTTTTTAATACTTTAATAATAATCCTAGTCCTTTTATGAAAAAAAAAACACAACAGTATAAGACCATAGATTTGTTCATCACCAAAGGTTTTCATTTACTATAATGTTGTAGAATAGAGTCAGACATATACTGTTGGGATGGACAATTTTAACTTAGCAAAATGTATTTCGCATTCATAGTTTTGTGTGTTTTAGTTTTTTACCCCCTTTTATTGCTGAGCAATATTCTGTGGCAGTGGGCATATCACTCTTCATTTATTCCAGTGCTTGCTGAGGGCCCTTTGGGATTTTTATTTTTTTAATTTTTAAAATTTTTTAAATTTTTTGCTTTTTGGGTCACACCCGGCAATGCACAGGGGTTATTCCTGGCTCTGCACTCAGGAATTACTCCTGGCGGTGCTCAGGGGACCATATGGGATGCTGGGAATCGAATTCAGGTCGGCAGCGTGCAAGGCAAATGCCCTAACCGCTGTGCTATTGCTCCAGCCCTGGGATTTTAAATTTTTAATAAGAGGTTTACATTTTAAGTATATGTTTTTGTGTGATTATAAATTTTTAGATCTTTTGGGTAAATTACCTACGGCTCTGATTTCTGGGTCACATAGTATGTATTTAACTTTATAAGATAGCTTTTAGAAACTAGCTGAACCATTTTGTGTACTCACTAGTAAAGTAATTGTTCTTATTGTTCTGTTTGTACCAAAATGTGACTTCATCAATTTTTAAATTTATTTTAGCTTTTCAATGGGTTTTTAGTGGGACAATATTATAGTTGTTTACCATTTTACCTAATGAATAATAATGCTAAGTATTTAAGAAATATATTTACATTCTATATGTCTTCTTTGGTGAATTATCTATTCACAACTTTTGCCCAATATTTAATTAGTTGTTTTTTTATTGCTGAATTTTGAGTTATTCATATATTCTAGATGCTGCTGATTTGTTGGATATGGTTTATTTTTTTCTAATCTCTTGACAGTACTTTTGCAGAGGAAAATATTTTAAAATGTTATAAAGTCCACTTTATTTTTCTTCTTAGGGTTTTACCTTTAGTGGTGTCTAAAAACATTTTACCTTTTATAAGATTCCCAGGATTTTCTGCTATGTTTTCTTTTAGGTGTTTTATAGTTTTAATTTTTCCATATAAATTTATGATCAACTTTAAGCTAGTTTTGATAATGGTTTGAAATATGAGTGGTGTCAAGATTTTGTTTATAAATGTCCAATTTTTCTGTTTATGATTTATTGGAAATACTATCCTTATTTTAATTGCTTTATGCATAATAGGAATGTGCTGTACCAGCTGAACTATCTTATTGGTTTGAAATGGAGTATTTAATATATATGTTGTAAAATTGCTACTCTAGGTAAGAGTATTAAGGCACTTTTTATATAATATTGTTAACTGTAGCATTGTCCTCTTGTTGTTCATCAATTTGCTTGAGCTTGCACCAGTAATGTCTCCATTGTGATACTTGTTACTGTTTCTGGCATATCAAATATGCCACGGGGAGCTTGCCAGGCTCTGCTGTGCGGATGGGATGCTCTCAGTAGTTTGCCAGACTCTTGAGTGGGACGGAGGAATCGAACCCAGGTCAACCATGTGCAAGGCAAACGCCCTACCCGCTGTGCTCCAGTCCTAATGTAGCTAATATTAACAAAAATACTTTACGAGACCAAGGTTATAGTTTAGCTATAAGACCACTGAACTTACATGTGTGATGCCCTGGGTTTGATCCCTGGCAACTCAAAAGAAAATTACATTATACATTAGATACATGGTACACAACATTTGATGCTGTGATACTAATGAAGAGATATAATATTTCTTTCCTCAAAAAAGTGTACAGTCTAATGGGGGTGATATGTGTAGATAAAATAGGAATAAAAGATTACATATAATTTTCACAAGAATGATAAAAATGTAGAAGAGATGATCAGTATTTCAGAAGGTTTCATAGAAGAGTTTGAAACTAACCTGTACGTTGTTGCCAGAATCTGAAAGCACAGTAAGGAAGAGGGATGTGCATAGATCGGAATTGACAGAGATACTAACTAGCCAACATCTGAGGTGATGTCTTTTAAAAGATAAACAAATCAACCAGTTTAGCTTAGTTCAGTAATTTGGAGAACTCTATTCTTCTAAAGACTTGTCTAAAGAGCATTGTTATAATTTATTAGACCTTATAAACAAAAGAGCAAATACCAGCACATACCATTTTTGTTATTTCTGACTTTATAAATTTGTAAAATTAGAATGTATTTTAAACTTAATTATATCATAATTATAGCACTATTCATGATTTTAGAACATATGAAGGCCAGATAGTGGAATTGTTAGGTTATATGGTAACTTCATTCAACTTTTGAAGGAACTGCAAACTGCAAAAGTTGCTGCACTACCGTCTGCACCAAAAATGTATTAAGTTTCTAATTTCTCCCCAGCTGTGCTTTCTCGTGATCTCTCTTTATCTCTCTCGTTCTGCTCTCTCTTTCTTCTTACTTTCTGGTTTTTGGGCCCTATGCAGCAATGCTCAGGAATTACTCCTGGCTCTGTACTCAGGAATTAATTCTGGCAGTGCTTGGGGGACCATATGGGATGCCAGGGATTAAATCCTGGTGGGCTATGTGCAAGGCAAATGCCCCATGCTCTGTACCCTGACCCCTCAGCTGTGCTTTATTAAGAAAAATTATTCTTATTTTGGTTTTTTTGGCCACATCCAGTTATACTCAAGACTTATTCCTGACTTGATGCTTGGAGTTGTACCTGGTGGTGCTCAGGGGATCATACAGAACTGGGGATCAAAATTGGGCTAAAAGCACATGTGCCTCAGCCCATAAAGTTCTCTGGCCCAATGTGCTTTATTTTTAACAGAGAAATAATTACCTTTTAGGAAAAACAGGTTAATTTGTTTATATTTTATTTATATTATAAAATATTGCACAAAAGGACAAGATACGTAACGAAAATAATACATTTTGAGCGAGGCCCTTTAATTTTTATGTCATTGTTTACTTTTCAGTTTCTTTTCATTAAAATAAGAACTAGGCAAGAAAGTAAGATAAAGGATTTTATTCCCTATGGAAGTATTTCGTTTCAGCTCTAAGGTCTCAAACTTCAGGATTATTCTGTAAGCTAGTAAGAGGATCCTCAGATCGTTTACATTTCAGGAAGTAAGTGGGTGGTTGAGGAAAGCAGTTGCCCTGTCCATCCTCTCTACTCCTCCCGTCGACCTCCCACCGTTTTGGGATGCATTTTGAACCAGAGTCGTAGAAAACAAATATAATTATATGGTATTTCTGATATACCAGAAGATGCTTGTAAAAGCTATGCATCCTATATTTTTAAAACTTTTAATTTCAAGTGTTTTGGGGGGTGTGAAATATTTGGAAATATTTTGAAACTAAACACTTAAGATACTGATTACTCAGTATTAGGGATACTTTTGTCCAATTTGAAGGTGATGTTATCTAGAAAAATAATGGCCGGCAGGGCTGGAGTGGTAGTATAATGGTGTAAGGTGCCTGCCAATTACAGTTTGATACTGGTGCTCCTTTCCAGCCACCTCCTTCCCTAGCACCACCAAGAATGATCCCTGAGCAGAGTCAGGAGAAAACCCCGAGCACCGCCAGATGTGGTTCCAGCCTTCCTCAACCCCACCCATTAGCTATGATTCTTTTTCTACCATAGACCTTTGGAGGACCAGGGTGATGCTTAAAGGGCAAGTGTGTGATAGCGCCTGATTCCATGACCAGCTCCACTAGGATTCAGCCCCATTTCCCCCAGCCTCAAGCCGGGATTGATTCCCCCCACAGCCCCAGAGCACTCAGCTGGATAACCCCTCGAGCACGGCTGGACTGTGATCCCCAAATCAAACCACCAAAAGACAAACCAACCAACAAAATAGCCTTTAATTGCCTGAGGGAATGAACATGGAACACATACTGTTTTGGTCCTGTACAGCTACACACAACAGAAAGGGCCTTTCATTTTTTTTTTTTTTTCAGGGAGAATTTATCCAACCGGCTGAGTCTGGAGAGCCATTTAGTATTTCTCGGGTTCTGTCGTTAGGAAATTGAAATGCCCCGCGAGGAGGACACCGAGTGTTGGCTCCTCCACGACCGAGCCAGGGGTTCGGGAAAGGCACACTTAACCTTTTGACGCTTTACCGAAACGCGGCAAAGCCGAATTAAACATCTTTGCCGGCGTCGTGGGCAGCAGCTAGTCCAGGGCGGGCAAGGGCCGCCCGGCTCTCGTGGTGGGGGAAGCCTGCCGCCCCCCGCAGCCCACGGTCGGCGTGGCCGTGGGTGGGCGGTCTAACCCATGTTCTGCCGGTTGCCGTAGCCCTTCGGATGCGTGTCCTTCCAGTCGTCCCACTCCCGCGCGCGGCGGCGGCTGCGGCGTGTCCGCGCCTCCTCGTCGTCCTCCTCCTCCTCGTCGTCGTCGTCCTTTCCTTCCCGCTCTTCCTCGGCGGGCCGAGCGGCTCCCCGGCGCCCGGACGGCGCGGCGTGGGCTCGGCCCGGGGCCCCGGGCAGCGCCCCGCACCTGCGATGCTGCTCGTACCAGTCGCTCACCGTCATGGACGCCAGACTGGGGTAGCCGGCGCCGAACACTCGGGCCTGGGCGACATTCCGAGTGAGAACGAAGGGCTTCATGGGCGGCCTGGCGGGCGGCGGCGGGCGGGCCGCCGTCGACGCCTCCCCGGAAGGGTCGTTCTGGCGGAGGAGCCGGAGCTCCTGGTCGATGCCCTCGACCTCCTCCAGGCTGATGCCGACCCAGCGGCGGAGGTGGAGCACGTGGTACTCGCGCACGCGCTCCTCGTCGGCCTGGCCGCTCTCCACGGCCGCCCGGAGCGCCGCCAGCCGGCCCTCCACCTCCTCCCGCAGCCGGTAGCGCTCGATCTTGGCCTGCCGCCGGGACGCCATGGTGACCAGGCTGGGGTCGGCCATGGCGGGGCGCGCGGGCGGGCCCTCGGAGGCCGCGGTCCGGGGCGGCGGCGGCGGCGGCAGCTCGAAGTCGGCCACCCGGAAGTGCCGGCACTGGGTGAGGTAGGAGACGAAGTGCTCCCGCGCCCGCTGCAGGTGGTCGAGGCGCCGGCCGGCGTGGACCTGCTTCATGGCGAGCGCGCCCCGAAAGGCGGGCACGGCCAGGTACTTGAGGTCGGCGGAGGCCATCTCCTCGAGAGCCGCGTGCGGCCGGAACAGGTCGAGCTGCGCCAGCATGTCGGCCGCCTTCTGGAGGAGCGCCAGGCCCCGCAGCACCTTGTCCTGGACGGCCCGTGAGCCCGTGGGCTCGGACGCCACCTCCACCTCGTCCAGGAGCTGCCTGCTGGCTTCGAACAGCTCCGGGAGCCGCGGCGGCGGCGGCGGCGGCGGCAGCTGCTCCTCGTCGGCCGCTGCCATCTTGGGGGGGGGGGGGAGTGGGGAGGGACGGAGCCGGAGACCTCGCCCCCCCCCACCCCGCCGCCACACGCGGGATTTTTTTTTAAAGGCAAATTTGCACTTTTAAAAAAAAAATTTTTTTTTGTTCCCCCTTTCTTAACCCCCGCGTCCAGCTCTACCTCTCCTCCTCTCCAAGGAGCTTCGTTCTTCCAGAACAGTTCCACAGTTCCTAGTGCATCACGGAATGTCGTTACGCGCCCTCTGGAACATTTGAATTCGTTTCAAACGGAATTCTGACACGTCGATGAATTCCAGATTTCGTATTCATTTATTTAATTTATGGGCTCTCTTTCTTTCTGTCTTTTTTTTTTTTTTTGGTCTTCTCTACGTTGTCAAGGATTTTTGTAGTTTTTTTTTTTTTTTAAACTCATTGGATAATTTCTTTGGTGCCTGTTCTGGGCCAAACTGTGCTAAGCGTCAGGGAAGGTGTTTATTAAGGATTCATTCCCTCCGTATCTTTTTGGGGTCACTGGCACCACGACTAGCCACCCAGACACAACTCTGGGCTTCACTGGAACTAACACTCATATTTTGAGAGGGGGTCGATAGAGTCCACGGAGGAAGTGTACGCAGTAGATACCCGGCGGGCTTAGTTGAGTTCTGAGAAGGTCGGGGACGGGTCCTGAGAACGGTGTAGAAAGCGTCAGAGAGCAAGACCTGGCTTTGAGGATGGTTGAAATTAGAATATGGGGAGAGGGGTGCAATTGGACAGGACAGTACTTGTGGAGTACACGACAGTACTCGATATGGAGTCTTGAGGGGGGAGTCATGGTTGAATCAAGACCAAACAAGACCATGGGATTCTCCAAAACCTCGATTAGGAACTTGGAGCATACTTAACTCCTCTAAACCTCAGTTTCGTGGTCTGTCCGTTTCCCCCTGTATCTTAGACTAGTTAGTTGTAAGGGTTAAAAGAATATCTGAAAATCATTTAGAAAAGTTGCCTGGAACATGAATGTTCTACTAGAACTAGAATGTTCAAGCTCTTCATATAATGTCATCCTGTTAGAGAAATAAAAGGTTCATGTGTCCACTGAGATTTACATTCAAACAGAATAGACTTGAGAAATTTGAGAACAGTATTTCTAACACCGTGGAACTTTTCTCTGTTAAGCAAGGCTTTTCTTTTTGTATACATCTGAACTTTTAGGTAGAATTGCTGATTCTGGAAGTAGTACTGAAGTTAAGCAATTGAACTGTTATTTTAATAGCAATCTTAATATCAGAGAGATCTTTTGTAGACTGTCCTTATAAAAGATGTGAAGCACGGACTCGATTTTATCCATCCTCATCAGTGTCATCCATTTGCTCAGAAGCCAATTTCTTCACCAGTAGTTTGAATCACTTTTATAGTGGAAATTTCTTTTTTGAGTACTTGAATTGTTGCTGAATTTTCTGTTCTCCTATAATTCTTTTTCTTTTCAGATATTCTGAATTCTTAATGTTCTCACAGAACATGCCATTTTATTTCCTGAATTTTACTTTTTTTTCATGGGCTGGAGTGATAGCACAGCGGTAGGGCATTTGCCTTGCATGCAGCCAGCCCGGCCGAGCCAGGTTCGATTCCTCCCCCCCTCTCAGAGAGCCCGGCAAGCTACCGAGAGTATCTCGCCCGCACGGCAGAGCCTGGCAAGCTCCCCGTGACGTATTCGATATGCCAAACACAGTAACAACAGTCTCCAATGGAGACGTTACTGGGCTCGCTCGAGCAAATCGATGAACAAGGAGGACAGTGACAGTGATTTTTTTCATATTTGTTGTTATGCTTTCTTTATCAATAAACTGTTAGCTTTCCCTCCTAATGTTGTTTCCCTTACAACGGATGTGTTTGGGTCATAGCGATAGTACAGTGGATGAGACATTTGCTTTGCACTTGGCAAACCAGAATTCAATCCCCAGTATTCCGTATGGTACCCCAAGCACCTCCAGGAGTGGTTCCTGAGTGCAGAACAAGGAGTAACCCCTGAACGTTCCTGCGTGTGACCCAAGAAACAAAAAAATGAAGGAGGTGTGTTTTTTTGCTTCCAAGCAGTCTTTCTTGCTAATACTTGTCAGTTTTTTTTGTTTCTTGCTTTTTGCTTCTGGTAGGACACTAATTCCTTAATAGTCTTTATATGAATCTCTAGGACTTGATGAAATCTTGACGAAAACTGCAGACTCAGCTTGACAATCTTAAGAGATGTATTTAGGACAAGTTACAGTTTTTTTTAAAAAAACTTTCCATTCTTGATTTTTTTTACAGTACTGCTCAGGAATAGCTATATTAGCTATAGAGAGGAGTTTGAGTATATAAAGGGAATCAAAGTACAGTAGCACTGTAGCACTCTCTTCCCGTTGTTCATTGATTTGCTTGAGCAGGCACCAGTAATGTCTCATAACAAATTGTGAGACTTGTTGTTACTGTTTTTAGATATCTAATACGTCATGGATAGCTTGCCAGGCTTTCGCGTGTGGGCAAGATACTCTTGGTAGTTTGCCGGGCTTGCTGACAGGGGTGGAGGAATCGAATCCCGGTCGGCTGCATGCAAGGCAAATGCCCCACCCGCTGCTATCGCTCCAGCCCCAAAGTATAGTATATTTTTAAAAGTTATCTAGCATATGGCTTCCCCTTAGCCCACGGGGCTAAATATCTAAGAAATTGAATCTTAGGAGTGGTTTTTTGCTTACTTTTGTTTTTTGTACTTGAGACTGTTATCTTTTTTTTTTCTCTTTTGGATCACACCTGGTGATGCACAGGGGTTACTCTTGGCTCTGCAATCAGGAATTACCCCTGGAGGTGCTCAGGGGACCATATGGGATGCTGGGAATTAAACCCGGGTTGGCTGCATGCAAGGCAAATGCCCTACCCAATGTGCTATTGCTCCAGTTGGAGACTGCTATAGTTGAATACCTCTTTCTACTTCACTGTTGACAGACTTCTTCCTCAAATGTGCTTTTCATGCAAGGACTACTTTACTCAGCAGTCTACTACTACACTTTGAATTCATTTGACTATTGCCTGTCAGTAGTGTAGGTTTTCACACTCCAATCTTGAAGGTTAGCTGAGAGTTCATATAAATTTGTTCTAAGTCTGACCAACTTTCAGGTCTTCTTGTCAATGTAAATTTTATTTAGTTGTTTGTTCTGTTTGTTGTGGCTGGTTCTGGAGGTCTTCGGCTGCTGGAGCTCTGCTCGGGCGGGGAGGGAAAAAAACCCAGCTCCTGGAAGAGAGCAGCGCAGAGTCTCCTGCCCCCACGCCTGGCTGTCCTCACTGGTGACCCTTGGAGGGGGGCGGGTTGAGTTTCCCTCCCCACCCCGAGCAGAGCTCTGGCAGCCGAAGACCTCCAGAACCAGCCACAACCATGCTGAGACCACTCTCCATATGCATGAAGGTACCAGCAGAGGAACAAAGGCATGCGGGTCCCGGGTCTGAGATCTCCAAGCCTGCTCGGATCAAGCAGCTATAAAACCCAGCTCCCAGAAGCGCATGGCCGCTTTTGCAGCCGCATTTGTGGCTGGGCGATGTCTTTTTTTTTTTTAAATCCTCATTCCTACTTTGACCAACCTGGCAGGCTACCGAATGTAACCTGCCCACACGGCAGAGTCTGGCAAACTCCCCGTGGCGTACCCAATATGCCAAATACCAGTAACAATGATGGGTCTCATTCTCCTAACCCAGAAAGAGCCTTGAATACGGCGCTTTTTAAAATCTCAGGGCTAGGACGAAGGAGACGTTACTGGTGCCTGCTCAAGTTAATCAAAGAAGAACAGGATGATCATGATCATGATCGTGTTTGTTGGGTAGCTCTTGATTCAGGCTTACTCATCATAAACCTCTCCTAACGATCAGCATTAAAATTTAGTTTGAGTATAGTGTGAAATAAAATAATAATACAAAGAGAAATATTTTAATGCTTTCAAAAGATTTCTCTAATAAAGACATCAGACCTATCTATCTATCTATAGAGATAAATATGTCAGGATTTCTCTGCCTCTCACTGATTCCCTTATACAAGTTGAACTTCTTTGGCTTGCTTTTTCTGTTATAGTATTATACCACAATAATCGATTAACATTGATTTACTTATCTGTTTTCCTAGCACATTGGAATTAGTTGAGTAATCAATAAGCGTTTATTGAATGATACATAAATTATTAAAGGAAATTGAGATCTGTTATCTTCTAAAATTTTCTTTACCTCAGCTTTTCCTTAATGATTAGGTTTAAGATTTCATAGAGAGCTAATTTATTGTCTACTAATTAAAACATGGTGCCTATATTAACATTTCTTTCCTCCCCCCCTTTTTTTTGTAAGGGGGCCCACACTCAGCAATGCTCAGGATCTCAGGGCTTTGCATTCAGGAACAACTCCTTGCTTTACACTCAGGAATAACTGCTGGTGATATCAGGGGACCATGTAGGATGCCTATAATTGAACCCAGGTCAGCTGTATGCAAGGCAAATATCCTACCCACTGAATTCTCTCTTTTTTTTTTTTCTTTTGGTCCACATCCGGTTGTACCGGTTGTAGTTGTGGTTTACTCCTGGCTCTGTACTCAGGGATCACTCCTATTTTGTTTTGTTTTGTTTTGTTCTTGGGCACACCAGGCGAGGCTCAGGAGTTACTGCTGCCTCTGTTCTCAGGAACCATTTTTGACAGTGCTCGGAGACCAATATGGGATGCTGGGGATGAAACCCAGGTTAGCTCCGTGCAAGGCAAGTAATTGCCTTCCTCACTCTATAATCTTTTTGACCCCACAGATCACTCCTTGCCATGCTTGGATGGCTATATGTGGTGCTATGGATGGAACCTCTGTTGGCTGCATGCACAGCAAATGCCTTGCCTGCTGTATTATATCTCTGGCCCAACATTTGTTTTTGTTATAAATTGAGCTTTAGATTGTCAGTACTTTGATTAGGAGAAAAGGATTAGTGTGTGACTGAGATTCAATTTCTAGTTAGTATCTTTTTTACCACACCACTGGAGCTTTACGTTGGGGAGGTGAAAAACTCAAATTGGAAGCTCTGCTATGAGAATTATTCCCTTATATTTCAGTGAAAGGTAGGCTCTCTAGTACTACGTGTTGTATCATTGATTTAAACTGTTGCTTATTTTCAGAAAAAGTAATCTATTTACAAATAGGAAAACCTCTGTGTGGTTTCTGTTCAAAAGCAAGAAATAAAAGCAACTAAGAAATGGAGGAAGGAAATGAAACACTTTTTCTAAAAATATTTATTTGTGAATAAGTGCAGGAATTTAGAAAGTAGATTTAAATTTATGGGTCCTACTTTTTATAAAGTGTCTATGTAGAATATTTAAAAGTCACTGTGCACATGAAAATCTAAACTGTTTGATCCAGTGTTGCTCTATCACCTAGCTTCTTCCTTTTTTTTTTTTTAAAATGTATGAGTACTGCTGTTTATTCAGCCACTGATTAGGCTGATTGAATTGGGCATGAAATCCAACTTACTTTTTTTTTTCATCTTTTATAATTTTATTTATTGAATCACCCTGAGAGCAGTTACAAAGCTTTCAGGTTTAAGTCTCGGTCCTACAGTGTAACACCCGTGCCTTCACCAGTGCCCATTCTTCACTCCTCAAAACCCCAGCATACCCCCATCCCACACCCTCCCCCTACCCGTGGGGCAGATTATTTCCACATTACTCTCTCTCTACTTTGATTACATTCAATGTTTTGACACCAGATCCTTCATTATTATTTGGGATTTTACCCCAACACTCAGATCTGCCGAAAAGGCAACAGTAGACAATTTGTTTTCTATTGCTGGCTATGAATAACATATGATGTTGTGCACTGCAGTAGTGCCCATGCGATTTTGAAATTCCGAAATTTTAACACTTAAATCTGGAGGGATTTCTGTCAAAACCTGCTGGTTTCCGATATTTGTTCCTGAGTCTCTGGGATAATGGCTGTTAAGCAGCTTGATCAGGAGCCAGAAAGGCTCTTCATAGGCGGAGACTCGGGGTCTTGTTGGGACAGGGAGGAAAGGGCCGGCTCCATCCCATCCGGTGAGGCCCTACGTGTCCCGTCACTGAGGGCGAAAACCTGACTGTCCAAAGACCTCTGGTGGATGGCGACCACTGAACCACCAAAGGTGAGCAGGGGGAGGAACAGCACCCATTCCCCCCTGGGGTGGCTCGGCGACAGTAACCTACTGCGCGGTCCGGATGCATTTCTGCGAAAAGCTGCTGGGTTTCGAGATTTGTTTCTGAGTCTCTGGGATCATGACCATTAAGCAGCTTGATCAGGAGCCAGAGAGGGCGTTCATGGGTGGCGACTCGGGGTCTTGTTGGGGTGGGGAGGAAAGGGCTGGATCCACCCCCATCCTGTGAGGCTCCACGTGTCTCGTCACTACTGGCCCAAATCTGACTGTCCAGTGGCCTCTGGAGGATGGTGGCCACTGGGCCGCCAGGGGGAGCAGGCGGAAGTATAGCACCTTTCCCCCTCTGGGATGGCCTGGCGACAGTAATCTACTGCAGGGTCCAGACACATTTTTGCTAAAAGCTTCTGGGTTCCGAAATTTGTTTCTGAGTATCTGGGATCATGGCCGTGAAGCAGTTTGATCAGGAACCAGAGAGGCCATGCCTCCAGTTATATAGCTGAGCCAGAGGTGGTTTGTTGGTGTCTCCCACATACCTAACTTTTGGCCATTTACTTTCTTGGTAAACTTTGCCCCACGTTTTTGGGGATTGGCCAAAGGCACAGCAGCAATTTTGGGGTATCTGGAAATCTTAAGGTACCATCAGGCTGCTGATGCACTTGCCTCACAGGTACAGATAAACCTGCTGGCGGCACCATACCCCCTCCTTTTTTTTTTTTTTTTTGTTATCTGGGCCACATCCACTTGTGCTCTAGGCTTACTCTTAGGATCACTGCTGCTTGTGCTCCAGGGAGCCTATGCGATGCCTCATTGAACGGGGATCATCCGTTTGCAAGGCAGATGCCTTAACCCTGGTACTATCTCTCTGACCCCCTTGCCTATCTTCTTTAATTGTTATGGGGTTATGTAATTAAATGTAGAACTATGAAAAATACTATTTAAAAATTTTTATGATATATTACCAGTAATTAAATACAATTGATTTGTATTACTTTTGTATACTTACATACCCAATGTTGCACAAAACTTTCTCCAGTGAAAAGTGCATGAATAGAAAAGATTTTTTTTTTTTTTTGCTTTTTGGGTCACACCTGGCGATGCACAGGGCTTACTCCTGGCTCTGCACTCAGGAGTTACTCGTGGTGGTGCTCGGGGGACCATATGGGATGCTGGGAATCGAACCCGAGTTGGCCGCGTGCAAGGCAAACGCCCTACCTGCTGTACTATCTCTCCAGCCCCGAAAGGATATTTTATTTCATTTAAAAAAAGCCTCACAGCGGTAGGGCGTTTGCCTTGCACGCAGCCAACATGGCCGACCCGAGTTCGATTCCTCTGCCCCTCTCGGAGAGCCCGGCAAGCTACCGAGAGTATCTCGCCCGCATCGCAGAGCCTGGCAAGCTCCCCGCGACGTATTCGATATGCCAAACACAGTAACAACAAAGTCTCCAATGGAGACGTTACTGGGCCCGCTCGAGCAAATCGATGATCAACGGAAGGGCCTTTACTTTACTTTTAAAAAAAGCCTCAACATTTTTTTATTGAAAAAAGTTTTAAGAAACTCTGCTCTGCAGGTAAATCAGTTGACTTGCATGCTGCTGCACCAGCATGGGTTTGATCCCTGGCACTGTATATGGTCACTTAGGGGTGATCCCATCCCTAAGCAGAGCCAGGAGTGATCCTTGAGCACAGCCAGGTATTTCCCCCCCCCCCAATAAAAAACTTGCTCTGCCATGTATTTTAAAAAAATATATAATTTTATTTACTTTTTGGGGTGCTTGAGTCATACCTGGAAGTGCTCAGGGGCTCTTCCTGCTGTGTGCTCAAGTTGGGAGCCCTGGCAGTGCTGAGTGGTACCAAGGATGACCACCTGTAAGAAATTACCTCCAGTACTATTTCTGTATACCTCCTGTATATTTTAGTGCTTGCTTTAGCAGTATTTTACTAAAAAATCATTGGAGCAATATAAAGAAGACTAGCATGGGCTCTACACAAGGATAACAAGTAACTTTGTGAAGTGTACCTGTGGCATATTCGATATGCCAAAAACAGTAACAAATCTTACAGTGGAGACGTTACTGGTGCCTACTCGAGCAAACTGATGAACAATGGGAGGACAGTGCTACAGTGCTACACACACACACACACACACACACACACACACACAGATATATATGCATACATATATAGGTTAGAAAGTGGGAGTTTTTAAGGAAGTATTAGCAAAAGTTTTCTATATAGAGAAATTAATTCTATTTAATTAATTAATATTAATTAAAATATTTCATGATCAAATATGTTATTTGACTTCTCTTATAGAAATTTCAAGAAATTGCTGAAAAAAATACGGAAAAGTTAAATCGTATTGAGAAATCACATGAACAGTTGGTTCTTGAAAATTCACACTTCAAAAACATGTTATTACAGACTCAGAGGGAACAAACATCCTTGCTAGCAGCCTGTGCATTGATGGCTGGTGCACTGTATCCTCTCTACAGCCGGTCATGTGCTTTGTCAACGCAGAGAGATCTTCTCCAGGAGCAGGTCAACACCTTTGAGTTGTTCAAGTTGGAAGTAAGAGCTTTAGCCCATGCTTTGTCGACTATAGAGGAAAAAAAGCAAGAGGAAGCCAAGATGCAGAAAAAGCCTTTCAAAGGATTGATACGTGTATTCCGGAAAGCAGTTATTGCAGTTTTGGCTGCAAACAGACTGAAACATTTGGGCCAGTCATGTGCTTCTCTTTTCACCTGGATGGAGAATTTTAAAGAAGGCATAGGCATGTTAGTATGTACAGGAGAGCCCAAAGACAAGCATAAATTTCCAAGTAAGATAATTCGTGCTTTTAAAAATATAGACTGCCAGTGATATGCAATGTCAAAAAGGTTTGATGATTTGCAAGATCTTGAAAAATCATTCATGTGTTAAATCATGTAACAACATATATATGCATATATGTATATCGATAAATATATGTTAAATGAGCTTTTTGGCTTTTATTCAAACATAGTTACTAGAAGGAAAATATGTATTTCAACTTTGTCTTGCTTTATTATATTTGAGCTCTTTTCACAATAAAATGAAGAGTTTATAATATTTTATAATATTTCAACTTAATATAGACACTGTCTTATTCAAAATGAATTAGCAATATGCTTTATTTTTATTCTTTTGCGAGTTGGTATAAAATAGAGTTAAATATTTGTTTAATAATTGAGTGAAAATGTACACTTTCTAGTTTTCCAGTTGATATATTTTGAATATGTGAATCTGAGGAAACACTTTAATTTTTAAAAATTAAGCTTTTTTAAAAAAAGCTTTTATTCAATATAGGTAGCACTGTAGCACTGTCCTCCTGTTGTTCATCAATTTGCTCGAGCGGGCCCAGTAACGTCTCCATTGTGAGACTTGTTGTAATATAGGTAAAAGTAAAAAAAATTTTCTTTTTTTTCTTTAAATGTCAGTTACCAGTTTATATATTTGTGTATATATATATGTATAATTTCTTGTGTACTTCTACCTATGTTTTGATCTGTTTCTTAAATTACTAAATATTGCAATGAATTTAAGTGCAGACTTTAATAAATCTTTGTTGCCTGTCTTTCTTTCTTTCTTTCTTTCTTTCTTTCTTTCTTTCTTTCTTCCTTCCTTCCTTCCTTCCTTCCTTCCTTCCTTCCTTCCTTCCTTCTTTCCTCCCTCCCTCCCTCCCCCCTCTCGTTTTTTTTTTTCTTGGGCAGAGCACCAAAAGGAACAATTACGTAGTTTTCAAGCTCTCAGTTGGCTCACCAGTTCTGACCTTCTTACTGCAATAATCAGTTCTATGGCTGAGCTACAGGAAGTCATTAGTAAAACAGGTACACTTTTTTCTTTTATGTCTTTGAAAAATTTAAAAGCAAAAGTCCTGAAATGTGCATAGTACAAATTCAAATAAACTGTTCAGTAAAAAACATTATTTGTCCTCATCTTGTTGTATTCAAGTACAAAGAGGCTGTTAAGTTTATATTTAATGATGTAGTAAATCAGTGTAAACTTTAATAGGTAATTTTGCCTTTGTTAGTGGGAAATTAATGTTCTTTCTTGATGGCTGTAACCTCAGTTCAAAACAGACAAAAATATGAACACATTTGATTACTAAAAATGTATCTTTATATTTGGAAGGAAAAAGTTTCTTACCTTCCCTCCTTCCCTGAACCCTACCACTAAAGTAGGTTTCTGCTGTTATTTCATTAGCCTAAACTGTATCACATCACTATCTGTAACTAGTTAGTTGGAAGTTGGCAAAAGAAGAATTTGTGGATCAGATCAGCCAGTCAACAATGTCTACTATAGAGGGATTACTGGTGCAGGAAAGATAGTAAAACATTTTCTTTTTACACACCCCTCAGACCCTGGTTTGATCCCTGGTACTTCATATGACCCCTTGCCAGGAGTACATTTGAGTACTGAGCCCTGAGCACATTTGAGTATGGCCCCCAGACAGAACAAAACAAACTGAAAATGTACACACACACAAAGAAGAAAAAATAAAATAAATCAAATTACTGAGGCTTAGAAGATACCTCAGGTGTCAAAGATCCCTGCCTTGTTTGTGCAAGGCCCCAGATATTATCCCTAGCACCATGTTCTCTCCACATGTCCCACCAAGGTGTGACCCTGGAGATCCCTGAGCATCCTTGGTTGTGGCCTACTGGTCTCAGAACCTCTGAGCCTCGACATCATCTGTCCATTTGGACGGCCATATATCATCTGGCTATATCACCAAACCTTCTGATCTACTTGGCCAAGTAGCACAAGGAGTGACCCAGGACTCTGTGAGTGCTGCTTGGTAGATTCCCATACCTCCCAGAGATACTTCCATATTTATAAAAGAACACTGGGCAATTCAGAAAACTTAAAAAAAAACAATAGCAGAAAAGCAAAATACCTTCTTATCCACAGGAATAATTACTGTTGACATTTGTGTTTTTCTACTCAGTCTCCACCCTGCGCACCCCCACCACAAGCTTTCTCCTTTGTCGTACTCTTTCCTAACTTTCACAAATTATCTTTAAAGGTAATAGAAAATATATCATAGGCTGCATACTGTTTACATCTTTATTTAAAAGTTATTTTAAAATAGTTTCAAACTTACAGAAAAGTTACAAGTGTGTAAGAGAATTCTTCTTTTGCTAATTTGAGAGCAAGTCACTGACATGATGCCTATTAATCCATCATCTTTTAGTGTGTATTTCAAAGACATTCTTTACATAATCAGAACGCAATGATCAATAACTATCTAGAAGCCAATATTGACTGCTACCATTCAGATTCCATTTGGCTTTACCTCGTTGTCGTAAGACGTATTTTCAGCAAAAGGATTTGCTTTAGAAATATATGTTGTACTTAATTATGTTTCTTATAGAAAAAAAACTTTAGTTTTTCCTTGACCACAGGATTTGAAAATTACAAGCCAAAACTTGTAGAAAAACCTTTAATTTCGACTTGCTTAGGTTTTCCTTCTGATTACATTCAGCTTCTGCATTTTTGGTAAAGTTGATGCTTAGCTTTGCTTATGAAATAGCATGGCACTGTAGCACTGTCCTTCCATGGTTCATCGATTTGCTCTAGCGGGCACCAGTAATGTGTCCATTGTGAGACTTGTTACTGTTTTTGGCATATCGAATACGCCACAGGGAGCTTGCCAGGCTCTGCCGTGTGGGCGAGGTACTAAGAAACAGAAATGACCATGAAATAGCATTAGTGTAAAAAATGTCATCCATTTTAAGGGTTTTATTTTTAATCTTGTTTTTAATATCCTAGAGAGGTATTATTAATGGCTGGGTAATATTTAATCATTTGTGCATTCCACAATTGAATTAATCATTCCATAATATAATATTATCATCATATAAGTATTTAAAATATCAAATTCACCTTTAATTTGTAATTGACATTATTTTCTTGAATGACTAATATTATGTCACTGTCACTGTCCTCCCATTCATTGATTTGCTCAAGTGGGCCCAGTAACGTCTCCATTGCGACAATTGTTACTGTGTTTGGCATATCGAATATGTCACGGGTATACTATATTAATTCTTCAGCAAAGTTGTCAATTGAAGTGGAAAGATATTAGGAAAGTTTAGATTTTTTTAAGGATCAAACTCAAGGCATGTGCCCCTTACCCTTAACTTTCCCTGTCGGTTTTTTAGAATTAGGTGTTTTTTCCTTTATTAGTTATTTTTGTAAATTTGGTGAAATAATTTTCATACCAGAATTGATGACATTACTATCCCCTTTTTCCCTTTTTAACCCCATGAACCCCCATAATGCACATATATAGCAATATCAAGTAGTAGCTTTTACTAATTTAAGTAGTAAATTAATGTGCTAAATAGTGGTAATGCTATCAGTGATAACATTTTCAAATTATCTTTACAGCAAGAAACAGTAAATTACTCTTCTAAAAAATTAGATACTTTTATTTTCAATGATGCACACTCGAAACCTGTTATAATGCAGTGGTACTTCAATTAAAAAATCGAAAGACAATGCAAGGGTCAGAGAGGTGGTACTTGCATGCAGCAGGCATTAGATTGATGCTCAGCACTATATAATGATACTTGAGCACCACCATAAGTGATCCCTAAGCACACAGAGCAAGAAATAAACCCTGAGTACAAATGGGTGTTGCCCATTCTCCTGCCACCCTCTACTTTGTCCCTCAGAGAAAAGACAGTGAAAAAAATTTAATGTTTATATTTTTTAGAGTAAGTTCAGTATTATACACATGTTATTGACCATACAGGAAAGGAAAAATTTAAGGCATAAGGAGGGAATATCGAACAAAGTAGATATGTGCATGAATTAGGAATTTGGATTCCAGAGTAGAGTCATATTGGATTCATTGTTCACCATGTGTGTGGCACTGAGACAATCAGCTAATCCCCTCTAAGTATCAGTGTCTTCATACTTAACATTTGACCAAGAAAACTTCCTAAGAGTAAAAAAAGGTCCCTTCTACATGTAACGTTCAAAAAAAATGTTTATTTTCTTTCTTTCTGTCTCTTTCTGATGTACTGTTGTCTGACATGAACTTATCTATTATTTTAACCTTTTCATGAAATTTGACGGTCAATAGTGGTAGCTTGAATTTCCTTCTCAGAATGTTCTAAAGATAGTTGCCCCTGTTAAGTCCTTAAACTTTGAAATACATTTATAGAAACTGGGCAAAGACCCCAGTTTTCATGTTGCCTCTGTAAATACTGGACAGGTGGCAACCTTCTTGCTTTCATTAAAGTGTTTGCCCACTTGAGATAAATTACCTCTTCCAGGTATCCAAATGGTGTGTCTGCAAGAGATCATTTACCTCTAACAGGGGAGAATGTTACTTCCACTGAAGGACTGGGATATTAATCATTATGAGAATGGACAGAAGAATCCTTTAGATAGTTAAACATTTTCGTGTGGGTGATCCAGACTGCATTTATAAGATATAAACACTGGTTCTGATTTTCTTTGAATTTTCTTTTAATAAATAGAAATATATACATGGATACAAGTAGAATGCTCATATACTTTGTTATACACTTTCCTTGAAAATTGAATCTTATCTGGAAGTTAAGAATATTCATGCTTCTGCTATTACTATTCTGTATGTCCTTTCATGGTATGGTTTTGGATTAACTTTCTAGAGGTCATAGCAACTCTAAAAGGAAAAACTCAGAAACTTAGGTTGCATTCAGCCTAACACTGAGATTTCATGTTTAGGTTCTTCAAAGAAGTAGATGAACAAATTTGTCATATGAAGTTATTATTATTGGAAATTATTAAAAATTTTAAGGACTTATTGAATTCTGACTCTAAAAAGAGCCTTCCTCAAGTATCATCAGTGAACCAACAGCATCAGCATTAACTGGGAACATGTTAGAAATCTCAGGATTCATTCCAGCTACTCAGAATGTATATTTTAACTAGGTCCTGATGATTTGTATGATCAGTAAAGGTTGTTGAGAAGTAATTAGAGGATGTTATTATTTATATAATTTCACTCATCTTTAATTGAAACAAGTACAGTCTTGTTTGTGTAATTTCTGCCACTTTAGCTATTAGTGTCTATTTGTGTCTTTATGGTATTTTAGCTACTAATGTCTACTTTGGAAAAATTTTTATGTATTGAATTTTATTTTATTTATTTATTTTAATTTTAATTTTATTTTGGGCTTGAGTGATAGCACAGTGGGTAGGGCATTTTACCTTGCATGCGGCCAACATAGCCGACCCAAGTTCAATTTCTCCACCCCTCTTGGAGAGTTCGGCAAGCTACCAAGAGTACCTTGCCTGCACGGCAAAGCCTGGCAAGCTACCCTTGACCATTTGATATGCCAAACACAGTAACAAGTCTCACAATGTTACTGGGCTTGCTCAAGCAAATCGATGAACAATGGGAGGACAGTGCTTGCAGTCCTAATTTTATTTTACTTTTGCATTTTTCCCCCTTTAAATTTTTTTTTTTGTGAAAAAAATTTAAGCATATCAAAAATTGGAAAGAATTTTATAATGAACAGATATTTTCATTTAAAAAGTTTATTATAAACCAATCTCAGAACCCAGCGGCTCTTGGCAGAAATGCATCTGGACTGTGCATTAAGCTATGGCGCCATACACCCTGGTTGGAAAAGGGCATTGTCCCCTCTGCCTTTTTCCCCTGCCAGCATGGTGGCCGCCATCTTTCAGAACCTATTGGACAGCCAGGTACAAGTCGGCAGTGATGAGACATGTGAGGCTTCAGGGGATGGGGATGGAACCAGCCCTTTTCCCCCCAACCCTGAGGAGACCCTGAGTTCATTGTTCACCATGTGTGTGACACTGAGAC